AAACCATATGAACAGGGAGAGCTCCTGCATGTGGGGGCCCAGAATTTGAGAGCCGTTTTCCTCTGTAACTCCGTCTCTCTGGTATCGCCTTGTTCTTCGGTTTTCTGTAACAATGGTTCGGCTGCCTCCTGCACGCCCCCCGCTGGGGATGGAGCCCACAACCCAGGCCTGTGCCCTGACCGGGAATCCAACCGTGACCTCCCGGTCCCTGGGTCAACTCTGAGCCACTGAACCACGCCACCGGGCAAGCCTGTTCTCTTCTGAACGTCTGCGCTTGGACGTGTCCACACAGGATTCTTTCCGGTCCCGCCCGCGGGCATTGGCCGTGTCCCAGGAGGCGCTGAAGCCACCTGCGTTCACCCTCGTGCTCTGCGTGGCCTAGATTTCTCGTCGCTGCTGACCCTCCTCTTGCCCTGGAGCCCCGTCCTTCCCCCACGTACTCCCCTCCCGCTCACCACTGTCTCCACATCCCGTCTCCCTAACCCCGCGGTGGGCAAACGGCGGCTCTGGAGCCACATGCGGCTCTTTGGCCCCTTGAGTGTGGCTCTTCCACAAAATTCCACGGCCTGGGCGAGTCTATTTTGAAGACGTGGCGTTAGAAGAAGTCTAAGTTTCACAGATTTGATTCTCCAAAGAAATTTCAGCAGAAACCGGTTTGGCTCAGTGGATAGGGCATCGGCCTGCAGACTGAAAGGTCCCAGGTTCGATTCCCGGTCAAGGGCATGGACCTTGGTTGCGGGCACATCCCCGGTAGGGGCTGTGCAGGGGGCAGCTCATCAATGTTTCTCTCTCATCGATGTTTCTTTTTCTTCTTTTTTTAAAAATATATTTTATTGATTATTTTTTTTTACCGAGAGGAAGAGAGAGGGACAGAGTTAGAAACATCGATGAGAGAGAATCATCGATCAGCTGCCTCTTGCACACCCCTTACCGGGGATGTGCCCGTAACCCAGATATATGCCCCTGACCGGAATCGAACCTGGGACCCCTCAGTCTGCAGGCCGATGCTCTATCCACTGAGCCAAACCGGTTTCGGCTCATTGATGTTTCTAACTATCTCTCCAACTCTCCCTTTGTCTCTGTAAAAAATAAAAAATAAAAATTTTAAATAAATAAATTTCCATCGTTGTCCTGTCGGCATTTGGCTCTGTGCACTAATGAGTTTGCCGGCCGCTTCCGGCGGGCTCGGCTGCTGGCTCCTGGGTTGCTCTCCGCCCGCAGAGCCCAGCGCCAGGGCTGTAAGTGAATTAGGCCCGCGTGTCCGGGTCTGTTCTCCGTCTCTCCGGGCGATGGCTGCCATTCCTCTGACAGAGGGTCTGTCTCTGACTCACTGGGAGCCACAGGCCAGGCTGGTTTGGGAAAAGGAGATTGGGTTTCACTACGTCGGAGGGGGGTGGGCGGACGTGGCCGGCGCGAGGCCTTGGGGGCCGGCCCTGCGGCGTCCCCGGTGCATGCCCTGATCCCCCCCCCCCCCCCCCGGGCAGGGCCGGTGGGAGGGAAGCTCAGCCTTCGTTCTCCCTGTTGGAAACAGACATGATTTCAGTCCCTTCCCTTCTCTGAGAGTGCTGACTGGAAATCCCATCCCCTCTGTGGCTCTGACAGGTAGGCAAAGGTTTTAGAAGGCTGATGCTCTATCCACTGAGCCAAACCGGTTTCAGCAATAAAATAATTTTTAAAAAAATAAATGGGAAAATACCCTCAGGTGAGGATTAACAAAAAAAGGTGGATTCCGAACACCAGCTATGATGTTGCTGAAGTGGGCGGCTGGGGTTTGGCGAGGACGAGTGGGTTCTGGGGAGCAGGGGACGTGGGGACCCCTCAGACAGCTGCAGCAGGAACGCGAGGTCAGCAGCCGGGGTCAGCAGGCGAGGTCAGCAGCCGGGCTGGGGCAGCGGGCCAGCTTCTAACTGTCAAGGTCATGCCCCGCACCAGGCCAGGAACACTGCGCCCTGCCCGTCACGCCATGCCCGTCACGCTGGCACTGCCAGGCGGACACCCCGGGAGGAAGCTGGCCCAGCCGGTCCCACCGGAGCCGCAGCAGGTGAGGTGCCTGCTCATTGCCGATGTTCGAGGAGGAAGCAATCACTTATTTTCACTCAGGGAAGTCTTGGGTAGGAATGACCTCACAGATCATTTCATCGGGAATGTATGGAAAATGTGCAGAAGCCTCAGGCAATGCCCACCGGCGGGTCCCACATTTCCGTAATGAAGTCAGCGGTTGGCAAACAGGCTACGGTTCTCCTTGCAACCGAGTCATTGGTTACTAAACGTTGACACCAGAGGGATCGTGAGGAGGAGGATGGAAGATGGGGGGGGGGGTCCGTCCCTTCCTGTTCCTCGCCGCCTGCCTTCCCTGTGCACGGAACCTTCTAGAGCCTGCCCTTTCTACCTCAGAGGCAAGTGCCAGCGTCTCAACGTTTCAACGAAACATTTTTGGTGCTTATTCTTTTTTTAAATATGTTTTTGTTGATTTCAGAGAGGAAGGAAGGAGAAAGAGAAACATCAATGATGAGAATCATGGATCGGCTGCCTCCTGCACGCCCCCTACTGAGGATGTGCAGGAAACAGATCATTGTCACTAACAGAGAAATGTGAACAGGGAATCGGGAGGCTGGTCCACCCTAATGGCTCTGGATGGTCGGAGCTACTCACTCATGTTTAGTTGAGACTGGCAGTTAGAGAGCCTTCGCCTGTTGGTCATATGTAAAATCTTGCTGATTGGCTCTCATTGGGATTTCCTGCCGACAGGACCTGAGTGGATCTTATAACCTTAATAAAAGGGAAGCCAGCCAAAGCCGGTTTGGCTCAGTGGATAGAGCATCAGCTTGCGGACTGAAGGGTCCCGATCAAGGGCATGTACCTTAGTTGAGGGGCACATCCCTGATAGGGGATGTGCAGGAAGCAGCTGATCGATGTTTCTCTCTCATCGATGTTTCTAACTTTCTATCCCTCGCCCTTCCTCTCTGTAAAAGAATCAATAACGATATATTAAAAAAAAAAATGAGGCAAGTTCATTGGCTCAGACGCCATGCGTTCCCAGCAACGCCAGGACAGAGCCGCCCTGGGGCGTGGCTGCGTGTCTGACCAGCGACATTTCCGCGTCCGCACGGGGCACAGCGTGTCCCTCACGGCTCCGTGCCCAGCTCCTCGCCACCATGCTCGTGCCGGGGGCCCTCCTGAGCGCCGTCCTCCTGCTGGCCAGCTCCGCGCCGGCCGCCCTGGCCGTGGGTGAGTCCCTGTCCTCGCTCTGCCCCATGGCCTGCCGTCTGTCCGGAGCTTGGGGCCTGGGGGGCGGCTGTGGGAATGCTATTTGGCCTTATTTACCCCCAATTCCACGTTAGAGGCAGCCTGAATGCCCCCACCAAAAGAAAGAAAGAAAAAAGAAAGAATAGAGCTATCTGGAGCGACCTTTCTAAGGGCCCCGGAATTAAGAGTGTAAGTGGGAGGCACATTCTGATAAGTCAGCTACCCGTGGTAAGGAATGATGCAGCGACTACAACTACCCAGGCCCTGCCAGTGTGGCTCAGTGCCTCGAGCGCTGTCCCACTGGTTCGATTCCCAGTCAGGGTGCATGGCTGGGTTGCGGGCTTGATCCCCAGGAGAGGGGGTGCAGGAGGCAGCTGATGTTTCTCTTTCCCTCCCCCTGCATTTTAAAAAAACATAACATTAGCCCTGGCCATTTTGACTCAATGGACACAGCGTCAGCCTGGGACCGAAGGGTTCTGGGTTTATTCCAGTCAAGGACGCAGGCCTGGGTTGAGGGCTTGATTCCCAGGAGGGGGCCATGCAGGACGAGCTGATCCATGATTCTCTCATCACTGATATTTCTACCTCTCTCCCTCTTCCTTCCTCTCTGAAATCAATACAAATATATATCTTACACACACACACACACACACACACACATGCATTCTGAAAAATGGTGAAAAAATTATGGGAATTACAATGTGACACTGGATTATATTCACTGAATGCAGCAAAAGAGGAAGAGGTTAGCAAAAAGAGATGAGACATACGGAGAACAAAGTAAAATGCAAATCTAACTAGATCATAAGACTTTAAATGTGAATGAATCCCACAGCCCAGTCCCAAAGGTAGAAATTATTTGACTAAAATATTAAAAACAAGATCCAAGTATCCGGGGTCTCTCCCCCGGTTCTGGCCCCTCTGGGTCCTCCCCGGGCACCAGGCCGGGGCCAAGGTCAGCTCTGCAGGGCCCCAGCCAGCTCCTCCCCGCTGCTCCCTGAGGCGAGGCAGAGCAGGACTAACTGGGATTCTCTTCCAGACTTCCGCCTTCCCACCGGCGACCGGGCCAGCCTCCCGAAGACCGAGGTGAGCTGCCCCCGGCCCCCAGGAACAGCCGGGGCGGCCGAGCCGGACGGCTTTCTGCTGGGCGTGGGGCGGGGCAGGGGGCAGCGGGGAATCATGCCCCCCACAGGCCGAGTGCCAGCTTCCCAGGCCTCAGCCCGTGGCCTCGCTCGGCTCTGTGGGCGGACGGCAGCCTGTGGCACTGGCGATGGCGATGGCGTCCTGGCGGACACTCTTTGCGAGGGGGACGCTCAGCTGGCACACGCCCTGCCTCCCACACACAAGGCCCGATGTTCCGCTCTGTCCCTCTCCATCTCCATCCTCACGCCCTGAGCCCTGAGCCCCGCTGCCTGACCCCCCCACATACACACACACACACGCACACACCACACACATACACCACACACCACACACGTACACACACGTACACACATGCACACACACTCACACACACCACACACGTACACACACATGCACACACACATGCACACACACTCACACACTCACACACACTCTCTCACACACACCACATACACACATGTACGCACACACATGCACACACACCACACACACGTACACACACATGCACGCACTCACACACACACCACACACACTCACACTCTCTCACACACACACACACACACCACACACATGCACACACACATGCACACACCACACACACACTCACACACTCTCAAACACTCACATACACACACACACTCACACACACACTCACTCACACACACACATACACACAAAGCACACACACGTACACACACATGCACACACACATGCACACACACCACACATACACGCGCACACACTCACACACACTCACACTCTCACACACACACACTCACACACACTCACACTCTCACACTCACACTCTCACACACACACACATACACACACACTCTCACACACACACCACACACACATATACCACACACACACACTCACACACACATACACACACACTCACACACACATATACACACTCACACACTCACACACACTCACACTCTCACACACTCACACACACATACACACACACTCACACACACACTCACACTCTCACACACTCACACACACACTCACACACACACACACTCACACACACACTCACTCACACACACACTCACACACACTCACACACACACCACACACACACACACACACACTCACACTCACACACACACTCACACACACACCACACACACACGTACACACATACACACATGCACACACACACTCACACACACATACACACACTCTCACACACACACCACACACACATATACCACACACACACTCACACACATACACACACACTCACACACACACATATACACACTCACACACACACACTCACACTCTCACACACTCACACACACATACACACACACTCACACACACACTCACACTCTCACACACTCACACACACACACTCACACTCACACACACACACACACACACACCACACACCAGACACACACTCACACACACACGCCACTGGGTGATGCTCCTGAGAGACATTCCCTCTGGGACGAGGTTGCGGACACCGGGGGCCGGGGCGGGGGCCGGGGCGGGCTGCCCGCTGTCCCACAGTGAAGGAGGCCGGCGCTCACAGCCACGCTCCCCGCTTCAGCAGGTGCGGGGAGGGCTGTAGGGGAGGGGCGGGCAGGCCTGGGTGCAGACAGCAGCCATGGTCCTTAGGCACCAGGTGAGGAGGCCGTGGCGATGAGGGCCGACGGCGATGAGGGCTGAGGCGATGAGGGCCGGCGGCGATGAGGGCCGGCGGCGATGAGGGCCGGCGGCGATGAGGGCCGGCGGCGATGAGGGCCGACGGCGATGAGGGCTGAGGCGATGAGGGCCGGCGGCGATGAGGGCCGGCGGCGATGAGGGCCGGCGGTGATGAGGGCTGAGGCGATGAGGGCCGGCGGCGATGAGGGCCGGCGGCGATGAGGGCCGGCGGCGATGAGGGCTGAGGCGATGAGGGCCGGCGGCGATGAGGGCCGGCGGCGATGAGGGCCGGCGGCGATGAGGGCCGGCGGCGATGAGGGCCGGCGGCGATGAGGGCCGACGGCGATGAGGGCTGAGGCGATGAGGGCCGGCGGCGATGAGGGCCGGCGGCGATGAGGGCCGGCGGTGATGAGGGCTGAGGCGATGAGGGCCGGCGGCGATGAGGGCCGGCGGCGATGAGGGCCGGCGGCGATGAGGGCTGAGGCGATGAGGGCCGGCGGCGATGAGGGCCGGCGGCGATGAGGGCCGGCGGCGATGAGGGCCGATGGCGATGAGGGCCGGCGGCGATGAGGGCTGAGGCGATGAGGGCCGGCGGCGATGAGGGCCGGCGGCGATGAGGGCCGGCGGCGATGAGGGCTGAGGCGATGAGGTGGTTTTGACTCCTGGTGGGTCGGTCTGACCCAGCTTATCAGTTCTACGTGCTGGAGTCACAGCTGAGGCACCTCCATGGCCTGGCACAGACCTTGGAAAGGAAACTTAACAAAAACTTAACCCCCTATTCACGTAGAAGAAACGTAATTCCCAACTCATAAACGTGCTCTAAGACTTTTAAACAGTATGGCTGTTTTCCAGATGAATTCGGGTGCCCTGTCTATCAGATTACACACCCCATCACTTACGGCCCCCCCCCCAGCAGCAGTGGGAACAGCCGGAGGCCCCGGATGCAGCACCCGCTATGTCTCACCCACAGGTCATTTGCAACAACAATATCCACCAGTGCTGGTTTGTCTCCTTCACCAAGCCCAGCGAGCCCGTCTGTGGCAGTGACCACTTCACCTACAACGGGGAATGCCACCTCTGCTTCGCCGTCCTGTGAGTGTGTGTGTGTGTGTGTGTGTCCCCGTCTCTCGGCTGAGGCAGGGGGCCAGCGGCTCCGATAGGCGGGCCCTCAGAGGGCTTCCTCCTCAGCCATCTTCCCTCCAGTCTCCTCCACGACTGCTCCCCCATTTCTCCCCGTCTCCCTGTGCTCCCCGGCCGGTGTGGCTCAGTGGTTGAGCACTGACCCATGAACCAGGTTACGGTTCAGGTACCTGGTCAGGGGACATGCCCCGCTTGTGGCTCCATCCCCAGTGGGGGGCGTGCAAGAGGCAGCCAATCAATGATTCTCTCTCATCACTGATGTTTTTCTCTCTCTTCCTCTCTGAAATCAATTTTTAAAAATTTTTAAGAGAGAAAAATGTATTTTCTCCCTTTGTTTGACCAATATGTTATTACACTGCTTGATAACTTTAGGTTATCAAGTGCACTCATGGGTAAAAAAAAACGCCACTTAATCAGAATGTATAATCTTTTAATATTCATTGGCTTCAATTTCCTAGTATTTAGTTGAGAATTTTTGCATCATATTCATGAGAGACATTTGTCTGTAGTTTCTTCTCTTTTTTTTTTAATATAACTTCTTTATTGATTTCAGAAAGGATAGAAACATTAATGATGAGAATCATTGGCTGGCTGCCTCCTGAACGCCCCCTACTGGGGATCCCAGGAAGAGGCCCTTGACTGGAATTGAAGGGACCTGGGACCCTTCAGTCTGCAGGCTGATGCTCTGTCCACTGAGCCAAGCTAGCTAGGGCTGTAGCTTCCCTTTTCTATGATGTCTTTGACTAAATTCTGGCTTCATAAAATGATTAGGGAGTTTTATCCCTCTATCATTTGGAAGAGTTTGAGAAGGATTGGTATTAAATCCTCCTAAAATGTGTTAGAATTTACTATTGATTCGATCTCTTTACCTGATACAGGTCTGTGGGTTTTGTTTCCTCTTTAGTCAGATTAGGTAATTTGAGTGTTCCTAGGAATTTGTCTATTGCATCTAGGATATCTAATTTATTGATGTGCAATTGTTCACAGTATTCCCTTATAGCTATTATTTCTTTAAGGTCACTAGTAATGCTTTAACTTTCATCAAGTGAATAATGTACATTCTCTTTCTAATACGTTGTATTATTATTATTCAAGATGACTTGGAATTAGAGTTAGAAACGTCGATGAGAGAGAAACACCGACCAGCTGCCTCCTGCACACACCCCCTACTGGGGATGTGCCCGCAACCAAGGTACATGCCCTTGACCGGAATAGAACCTGGGACCTTTCAGCCCGCAGGCCGACGCTCTATCCACTGAGCCAAATCGGTCCCGGCTGAATTTTCTATATTTGAATTAGGGCTGAGTATATTTTATATGTTCAATCTCTTTGACAAATAAAGATCTATGTAGTAGATATTTTAAAATACTTATTAAGAATTCACTATTAGCAGAATGTTTTCTTCTCAAACTTAGATTATTAAGTAAAAGTCATAACTTATAGAGCAAAAATAATCATTTCAAAATAAAATTTCTTTCAGATATAAAAAGCTTAACATAACTAAACTGCATGATGGACCATGCGTAAGTAAAGTCACTTTTTATTTTTTATTTTTAGGAGTAAACCAAATATAGTTAAGAGCTCACCTTAGTAGAGAATTTTAAATATTTTGTTATGAAAAACCTCAAGCATAGAGACAGTAACATTATAAACCTTATATGCCTACCCCGTAGATTCTACAAAGTGCAGAGTGTCTGCCACTTCCCCTCCTCGGTTCCTTTTCTTCGCTGAAGTTTACTAACACAGACCTGACATCATCGTATTCCACTCCTACACTTCAGAGCACTTCTCTAGGAAGTGTGGACACTTTCTTGCACACCAACAAGGCTGTCTTATTTGATTTTTTAAAAATTTTTTTATTGATTTCAGAGAGGAAGGGAGAGGGTGAAAGAGACAGAAACATCAATGATAAGAGAGAATCACTGATCGGCTGCCTCCTGCACGCCCCCTACTGGGGGTGGAGCCTGCAACCCGGGGCATGTACCATGACCAGGAATTGTACTGCCACCTCCTGGTTCCTAGGTTGATGCTCAAACCCTGTGCCATGCCGGACGGGCTCAATAACTTTATTTAAAAAAAAAAAAATATATATATATATATATATATATATATATATAATTGATTTTAAAACATATGGTCTATTGATTTTTTAATAGAGAGGAAGGAAGAGGGATAGAGTCAGAAACATCAACCAGAGAGAAACATGGATCAGCTGCCTCCTGCACACCCCCTACTGGGGATGTGCCCGCAACCAAGGTCCATGCCCTTGACCGGAATCGAACCCGGGACTCTTCATCCAGGCTGACGCTCTACCCCTGAGCCGCGCCGGCCGGGCTCAACACCTTTTCTTTACAGCAGTGACAGCCAACTGGAAAACAAAATGAGGAATATTACATCCCTCAAGACAAACGAAAACTATTAATGCCTGGAAACTAACCTTTCTCCTCAAGACTCACCAAAACCCCAAAACGCCAAGGGCGAGGCCACAGGCCGGGGTTAAAATTCAGGGTCTGCCCGCCCCGCGCTCTCCCCGCCCCCGGGCTCCGGTCGCCACTGCCCGGGTCCGTCCTCTTCCGGCCCGCAGGTCCCTCCGGGCTCCGCTGAGCAGCCGCTTCTCCGGCAGGAAAACCCCTGATGGACCCGCCGAGCCGGCCCCGCGGGCCCCGCGGCACGTCACCACCGCGGCCGCCCCGGGGCCGGCCCGCACCCTGCCCATCCGGGTCCCCGGGGCCGGCCCGCACCCTGCCCATCCGGGTCCCCGGGGCCGGCCCGCACCCTGCCCATCCGGGTCCCCGGGGCCGGCGCGCACCCTGCCCATCCGGGCCCCCGCGGCCGGCGCGCACCCTGCCCATCCGGGTCCCCGGGGCCGGCGCGCACCCTGCCCATCCGGGTCCCCGGGGCCGGCGCGCACCCTGCCCATCCGGGTCCCCGCGGCCGGCCCGCACCCTGCCCATCCGGGTCCCCGGGGCCGGCCCGCACCCTGCCCATCCGGGCCCCCCCACCCCGGGGGCCCGGCCCGCACCCTGCCCATCCGGGCCCCCGGGGCCGGCCTCTCAGTAAACGTTCTCGGCAGAAACGTGGCTGCGGCGCTTCCTTGGCGGAACCGGAACCTTTCAAAAGGCCCGGAGCCTCCGGAGCGGCGGCCTACAGGCTGCGGGCTTGGCCCCGCGGAGCTGAGCACGAGGCGGGCGGCACGGCCGTCCGCACCCCGAGCCCCGGCTCCACAAACCGGAACCCTCCCCTCCCCGCCCTGCTCCTCCCCCTCCTCCCTCTCCCCGTCCCCGTCCCTCCCCCTCCCCGCCGCAAGGGGGCGCCACGCCGGGCTGGAGGGGCGGCTTCCTCCGAGGGCGAACGCGGGAGAGCGACCGGGGCCCGCAGCCCCCCCGCCCGCCCACAAGGGGCGGCCCCCGGGAGCCCTGGGGGACCTCACCGCGCGGCGCCGCCCAGGGCTTCTTGGCACCGCCTCTCTGCTTCCGGTTCCGCTCGCGGCGAGGACCCCTGGGCTGCCCGCCGCGCGCCTGAAGGGCCCCGCGCGGGCCGCGGGGCTGGCCAGCCCGGCGCCTGCTGGCCACGTGACGTGCCCGGAGGGGGAGTGGATCGAACCGAACTCCAACGGGTCCGGGGCTCCGAGCCCGGAGTCTGGTGGCCCGAGGCCCGGGTACGGGGCAGGGCCCGCGGCCGCAGCCTGGGGAACGGAGGGAGCGAGGGCCCGGGGCCCGCGCCCAGACGGGGGCCGGGGCCGGGGCGGGGGCGGAGGGCGCCGGGCCGGGCCGGGCGGTGGACGGAGCGGGGCCGGGGCCGGACCAGCGCCACCCGTTCGGGCAGACCCGGGGCTCCGCCGTGGCCTGGGGAGACCTGGTGGGTCTCCCGGGAAACCCCGGAGGAGCCCTCGCTCTCCGGCCGGAGACCGAACCTGAAATGCCTTCGTCCTTCGGGTCCTCCCACATTTAGCCGGGGCTCCGCCAGCCCAGACGCGGGGACTCAAAGATGAACGAGCTAAGGCCATGCGGGTGCATTCAGTCAGCGGAGTTGGTCAAGCAGGAAAGTAAAAACAAGAAGCAAACCCAGCGGAAGTGACCCGGCCGCAGGCACCCAGCTGCCCGGACCGGACTGGGTGCCACAGGCCCGGGCTGGGGAGGCCGGGTGTCCTCAGCCTGGCCGCTGGGCACGGACCGAGGGTTTGGGGCGGGCAGGACGGTCCTGTCCGTCCATCTGCCTGTCCTGTCCACACCCATTCCTGTCCGTCCATCTGCCTGTCCTGTCCACACCCATTCCTGTCCGTCCATCTGCCTGTCCTGCCCACACCCCGTTCCTGTCCGTCCATCTGCCTGTCCTGGGATGGACGGGGCAAACCCAGAGCGGGCGTCGGGGGGAAATCCTGGCCGTCCGCTCGGGGCGGGCTGTTGAGTTCCTGGTGAACACTGAGCTCTGGGAGACGGACAGGGAGGGAGGGAGAGACGGGCGCTGTTTAAACCGGGATTTCTTTGAATGGGTAGCTCCTCAGATTTACCGGGGCCCAGACCAGACCGTGCACTCCACAGGGCAACTGAGGGCCCCTGCCCCCCCCAACCTCATGAGCACAAAGAGGCATTAAATTAAGGTGACCAGATCCTCCCACCCATCGGGACTTTTTTTTTTTTTAATATATTTTATTGATTTTTGTACAGAGAGGGAGGGAGAGGGATAGAGAGTTAGAAACATCAATGAGAGAGAGTCATTGATCAGCTGCCTCTTGCACACCCCCTACTGGGGATATGCCCGCAACCAAGGTACATATTCTTGACCGGAATCGAACCCGGGACCCTTTAGTCGCCAAGCCGACGCTCTATCCATTGAGCAAAACCGGTTTCGGCCATCGGGACTTTTTTTTTTTTTTAAACGCCGTGGGACTCAGGAAAAATTGTTGAAAATTGGGACTATCCTGCCAAAAGCGGGGCGGTCTGGTCACCTTACATTAAATACAGCAGTGTAGACACGTGTGCAGTAGCCGTGTATGCAGCCTTCCTATGTGGCTGTCGTGTGCTTTATGCGTGTGAAGGGGCGGGGCGCTGGGTCAGCTTGCAGGGCTGCGTAGCTGGAGGAGTGAGGGGGGGGCGGGCGGCGAGCAGCCCTGACGGGGCCCTAACCCCGCCCTGCAGGCAGGCGCGGGAGCGAGATGGCCTCCGTCTTGCGAAGCCCTCAGGCTCTGCAGCTCACGCTGGCCCTCATCAAGCCCGACGCCGTGGCCCACCCACTGATTCTGGAGGTAAGAAGGGCCCGCGCCTCTGGGCGCACCTGGCCCCGCTCAGCTCCCGGTGCAGCCCTCACTTGTGAGGGACCACAGAGCCGTGGTCAGCAATCGGCGGCTCGCGGGGGTGGCTCTTCCACAAAGCGCCACGGCCTGGGCGCGTCTTTGTGGAAGACGTTAGAAGAAGTTTAAAAAACTTGGCTCTCTAAGGAAACGCCAATGGTTGTATGCTGTTTGGCTCCGTGGACTCCTGAGCTTGCCGACCACTGCCATGGAGGCCAGCCAGGAGCCAGGAACCAGACCCTAAAGACTAACGCTCTGTTGGCGGGCGAGTCGGGGCAGGTGTAACATAGAAGACGTAGCCACGATAACACGAGGAACTCCCCCCTCAAGGCAGTGTCTGTGGACTAGCTCTCTGGCTGCATAGCAGTCACCGTAAACACAGCAGCTGAGACCAGTACCTGTTAGTGGGTTGTTGTTTTTTTTTTGTGTGTGTGTGTGTTTGTGTGTGTTTTTAATATTTTATTGATTTTTTACAGAGAGGGAGGGAGAGAGAGCCATCTACCAGCTGCCTCTTGCACACCCCCTACTGGGGATGTGCCCACAACCAAGGTACATGCCCTTGACCGGAATTGAACCTGGGCCCTGGAGTCCGCAGGCCGCCGCTCTGTCCACTGAGCCACACGGGTCAGGGCCACAGCTCTGCTTTTAAAGATCTGGTGCATCATGTGATGCGCTGGCCCGGCCAGATCCTCTCCCTCTTGATGAAAGCAGAGTCAGCTGATGGCGGCCAGCATCACGCCCAGAGCCCTGTCCGGCCCTCGTGCGGCCAGCAGGGCGTCTGCAGGTGGCAGGCCCCGCCTCAGGGAAGGACGGGCTCCCCCTGGTGCCCAGGTGAGGGCCAGCGGTCTGCAGAAGGGGGAGCCGAGGCAGGAAGGAGGTGGGAGCCACCCCTAAGCTAATGGCCGGGGGGCCGAGATCATGGCCTGATTCACCGGGTGTGATGGGGGGTGTTATCAGGTGATGTGTGTGCACCGGTGTGATGGGGGGAGTTATCAGGTGATGTGTGTGCACCGGTGTGATGGGGGGAGTTATCAGGTGATGTGTGTGCACCGGTGTGATGGGGGGTGTTATCAGGTGATGTGTGTGCACCGGTGTGATGGGGGGGTGTTATCAGGTGTGGTTGATGTGTGTTCACCGGTTGATGGTGGAGAGAGTGTTATCAGGTGTGGTTGATGTGTGTTCACCGGTTGATGGTGGAGAGAGTGTTATCAGGTGGGGTTGATGTGTGTTCACCGGTGTGATGGGGGGGTGTTATCAGGTGTGGTTGATGTGTGTTCACCGGTGTGATGGGAGAGAGTGTTATCAGGTGCGGTTGATGTGTGTTCACCGGTGTGATGGTGGAGAGTGTTATCAGGTGTGGTTGATGTGTGTTCACCGGTGTGATGGTGGAGAGTTATCAGGTGTGGTTGATGTGTGTTCACCGGTGTGATGGTGGAGAGTTATCAGGTGGGGTTGTTGTGTGTTCACCGGGTGTGACTGATGGGAGAGTTATCAGGTGTGGTTGATGTGTGTTCACCGGTGTGATGGGGGGGTGTTATCAGGTGTGGTTGATGTGTGTTCACCGGTGTGATGGGAGAGAGTGTTATCAGGTGCGGTTGATGTGTGTTCACCGGTGTGATGGTGGAGAGTGTTATCAGGTGTGGTTGATGTGTGTTCACCGGTGTGATGGTGGAGAGTTATCAGGTGGGGTTGTTGTGTGTTCACCGGGTGTGACTGATGGGAGAGTTATCAGGTGTGGTTGATGTATGTTCACCGGTGTGATGGGGGGGTGTTATCAGGTGTGGTTGATGTGTGTTCACCGGTGTGATGGGAGAGAGTGTTATCAGGTGCGGTTGATGTGTGTTCACCGGTGTGATGGTGGAGAGTGTTATCAGGTGTGGTTGATGTGTGTTCACCGGTGTGATGGTGGAGAGAGTGTTATCAGGTGTGGTTGATGTGTGTTCACCGGTGTGATGGTGGAGAGTTATCAGGTGGGGTTGATGTGTGTTCACCGGTGTGATGGTGGAGAGAGTGTTATCAGGTGTGGTTGATGTGTGTTCACCGGTGTGATGGGGGGTGTTATCAGGTGGGGTTGATGTGTGTTCACCGGTGTGACTGATGGGAGAGTTATCAGGTGGGGTTGTTGTGTGTTCACCGGTGTGATGGGGGGGTGTTATCAGGTGGGGTTGTTGTGTGTTCACCGGGTGTGACTGATGGGGGAGAGCTATCAGGTGTGGTTGATGTGTGTTCACCAGTGTGATGGGGGAGAGTTATCAGGTGTGGTTGATGTGTGTTCACCGGTGTGACTGATGGGAGAGTTATCAGGTGGGGTTGTTGTGTGTTCACCGGGTGTGACTGATGGGGGAGAGCTATCAGGTGTGGTTGATGTGTGTTCACCGGTGTGACTGATGGGAGAGTTATCAGGTGTGGTTGATGTGTGTTCACCGGTGTGACTGATGGGAGAGTTATCAGGTGGGGTTGTTGTGTGTTCACCGGGTGTGACTGATGGGGGAGAGCTATCAGGTGTGGTTGATGTGTGTTCACCGGTGTGACTGATGGGAGAGTTATCAGGTGTGGTTGATGTGTGTTCACCGGTGTGACTGATGGGGGAGAGCTATCAGGTGTGGTTGATGTGTGTTCACCGGTGTGACTGATGGGAGAGTTATCAGGTGTGGTTGATGTGTGTTCACCGGTGTGACTGATGGGAGAGTTATCAGGTGTGGTTGATGTGTGTTCACCGGTGTGATGGGGGAGAGTTATCAGGTGTGGTTGATGTGTGTTCACCGGTGTGATGGGGGAGAGCTATCAGGTGTGGTTGATGTGTGTTCACCGGTGTGACTGATGGGAGAGTTATCAGGTGGGGTTGATGTGTGTTCACCGGTGTGACTGATGGGGGAGAGTTATCAGGTGAGGTTGATGTGTGTTCACCGGTGTGACTGATGGGAGAGTTATCAGGTGTGGTTGATGTGTGTTCACCGGTGTGATGGGGGAGAGTGGGAGGCGGCAGCAGGGCCACCAGGGAGAGGCCATTGGGATGGCCAGAGCGGAGGGGCAGCCAGCACTTTCTGCCCCTCCACCAGGCTCACATGCTGGTCATGTGACCGAAGGCCTCCCCCTCACCCACCTTCTCTCCTGGCCCGTCCCTCCCCGCCGACTGACCGTGTGCGGTGCCCGCCAGGCCGTCCACCAGCAGATCCTGAGCAGCCAGCTGCTCATCGTGCGGCGGAGGGAGCTGGTGTGGAGGAGGGATGACTGCCGCCGCTTCTACCGGGAGCACGAAGGTGGGCCCCCGCCCGCCGCCCCCCGCCTGCCCGCCCGAGGCACGAGGGAGACCTGGACCCGGTCACCCCCCGCCCCCCGCCCGCCCGAGGCACGAGGGAGACCTGGACCCGGTCACCCCCCGCCCCCCGCCCGCCCGAGGCACGAGGGAGACCTGGACCCGGTCACTCCCCCGCCCCCCGCCCGCCCGGAGGCACGAGGGTGACCTGGACCCGGTCACCCCCCGCCCCCCGCCCGCCCGAGGCACGAGGGAGACCTGGACCCGGTCACTCCCCGCCCGCCCGGAGGCACGAGGGTGACCTGGACCTGGTCACCCCCCGCCCGCCCGGAGGCACGAGGGTGACCTGGACCCGGTCACCCCCCGCCCCCCCCCGCCCGAGGCACGAGGGAGACCTGGACCCGGTCACCCCCCCCCCCCCGCCCGCCCGAGGCACGAGGGAGACCTGGACCCGGTCACTCCCCCGCCCCCCGCCCGCCCGAGGCACGAGGGAGACCTGGACCCGGTCACTCCCCGCCCGCCCAAGGCACGAGGGTGACCTGGACCCGGTCACCCCCCGCCCCCCCCCCGCCCGAGGCACGAGGGAGACCTGGACCCGGTCACCCCCCGCCCCCCGCCCGCCCGAGGCACGAGGGAGACCTGGACCCGGTCACCCCCCGCCCCCCGCCCGCCCGAGGCACGAGGGAGACCTGGACCCGGTCACCCCCCGCCCCCCGCCCGCCCGAGGCACGAGGGAGACCTGGACCCGGTCACTCCCCGCCCGCCCGGAGGCACGAGGGTGACCTGGACCCGGTCACCTCCCCCCCCCCCGCCCGAGGCACGAGGGAGACCTGGACCGGGTCACCCCCCCCCAAACTCGTCACCCCAGCCGGAAGCTTAGATTTAGGTCCACGGCGTTCCCTCTGTCAGACCTCCTCCCAACGCCGTTTCTGGGTTAATCCTCACGGAGGGTATCTTTCCCCGCCGTTTTGGAGAGGGGACGGGACGGGACGGGACGGGACGGGGAGGGGAGGGACAGAGAGAGACACATCGATTGGTTGCCCCCTGCACACGCCCGACCGGGGCTGGGGATCTGGGGGTCGGAGCCTGCGACCCCCTTGACCGGAACAGAACCGGACCCTCCGGCTGAGGCCCCGCTCTCCTCCCCACTGCGCCCTCGGACTCCTCCTTTCAGGCGGCTCTCCAGCCGCCCCGGGGCGGGGCGGGTATTGTCATGTCCCCAGGCACAGGGAGCCGCTGGCGCTGACGCTCGCCCCCTGGCCCAGGTGGGAGGGGCAGCGCCCGGCTCGGCCCCGGGGCGCGGGGCTCCGTGTGTCCTCACGGGGGCGCTCTCTCCGCAGGGCGCTTCTTCTACCAGCGGCTGGTGGAGTTCATGGCCAGGTGCGTCGCCCTTCCCACTGCGCCTGTCACTTCGCTCTCCGAAGCCCTGGAGGGGGGGTGCTGTGTCCCCGAGTGCGGGTTAGGCTCTGTGCCCCTGCCCCTAAAGAGACGCCCTGGTGTCACCGGCCACTCTGGGTTGTGATGAGTGTCCAGAAGCATGACCTCGGGGCTCGGACTCGGCCACGCTGCCGGCGGCCTGTCCGGTGCCGGTGCTGGTTCTGCCGCGGCTGGCCTCCCGGCGCTCTGGGACATGAGCCGTAGCCCTCGCCGCCTGTGGTAGCAGCGTCGGCATCCGGCTAGAAAGGCCCGGAAACGCTCAGGATGCACAGCACGCCGTTTATAAAAACGTATTTCTATTGATTTCAGAGGGGAAGGGAGAGGGGGGGAGAGGGAAACATCAGTGATGAGACAGAGCCATGGATCGGCCGCCTCCTGCGCGCCCCACACTGGGGATCAGGCCCTCACCCCGGGCCTGTGCCCTGCCGGGAATGGAACCCTGACTTCAGCGTTCCCCTCCTGAGCCACGCCCGCCGGGCTACAGGGCACCTTGACCTGTGACCCGCTCCGGCATGCCCTCGCGCCCGGTGGCCAGACGCCTGACACGTGGCCCTTGGTTCCCAGCGGGCCCATCCGGGCCTACATCCTCGCCCACCCGGACGCCATCCAGCGCTGGAGGACACTGATGGGGCCCACCAGGGTGTTCCGGGCGCGCCACGTGGCCCCCAACTCCATCCGGGGCAGTTTGGGCCTCACCGACACCCGCAACACCACCCACGGCTCCGGTAGGCGGCTCCGGCCCTCGGCCCAGAGGGCAGAGGTGGGGGGGACAGGGAGCGTCTTCCCTCCTGCGTTTCTGGCCCTTTGTGGCCTCAGCCACGGGGTGTGGCCCCGGGACTGAGGTCAGAGGGGCTCTGACCCCGACGGCCCCGGCCTCCCGATCGACCCCTTCTCTCCCCCCCCTCCCCCCCCGCAGACTCCGTGGCCTCGGCCAGCAGGGAGATCGCAGCCTTCTTCCCGGACTTCAGCGAGCGGCGCTGGTACGAGGAGGAGGAGCCGCGGTGGCGCTGGGGCCCCGTGCGCTACAGCCCGGAGGGCGGCGTCCACTGCGCGGCGGGCACGGGCGGCCAGGACCGGCCTGACCCCGGCCCGGCGGTCTGAGGGCTGGATGGGCCGGGCTCACTGCGCCAAGGCCGCTGGGCACCACCGCCTCGGCCTGGCTCTCTGCTCCGCGCTGGGCTGGTCGGGGGCTCGGGAACGGAGCGGGCTCCTCCTCCTCCTCCTCCTCCTCACACTGCTCACCCTTCTCGGGGGGCCCGCCCGCCGCCTGGTGACTACGCAGGCTCAGCCCTCTGCCTCCTGCGAGGCGGCTGCCCCGGCTGCTGGTCCCTGTGGAGTCACTGAGCCTCCGGAGGCCCCCCCCCCTCGTGCTCCGTGCAGGGGGGCCCTGCAGACCTCTCCCGGGCCCACACGGTGCAGCCCACGTGCGGGAGCACCCAGGACGGAGCGAGTGTGGGCTCCGATCCCGCTGGACGCCGGCCCGAACCTGCTTCCAGGGGGCGGGGGGGCGGCCTTTATGTGAACAGAGGCCGCGCTGCCTGACAAATCAACTCAAATGTAGTTGCTTAAGAGAGTAGTCACGCCCTGGCCGGTGTGGCTCAGTGGACAGAGCGCCGGCCTGGGCACTGAAGGGTCCCGGTTCAGTTCCGGTCAGGGGCTGGGTTGCGGGCTCGAGCCCTAACGGGGAGCACGCAGGAGGCAGTCGATCCATGGTTCTCTCATCATCGATGTTTCTGTCCCTCCCTCCCTCCTGTGGAATCAAAAAATATATATTTTTAATAAAAGAGAGAGGAGTCGTTTGTTCTGATGTGTCTGTCGATCCGCAGGGTGAGTGCTGGGCTCACTGGTGGCTGCACTGGGCAGAGGGTCCCAGGGGCTTCCATCCTGAGCTCCCTCCCGGCGTGTGGCTCAGGGCCCCCAGGGGCCAGCCCCCCCCCTTCACAAGCTTGCAGGTTTGCGCTCCATCATGTTCGCTAACATCCCATTGGCCAAAGCAAGTCACATGATCAAACAGCGTCCATTTGGCAAGGGCCTGCGTAAGGGAGGGATACCGAGAGGTGTGAACTGTTGGGGCCATATCATGACAACCTACAAGAGTGAGGAGCCTTGAATTCACATAGAATTTGTGAGAACAAATATTTGCACAAGCCAACAAGGGAGATGAAATAGCCCTGGCCGGTGTGGCTCATTGGCCCTCAGACTGAAGGGTCCCAGGTTCAACTCCAGTCAAGGGCACAGGCCTGGGTGGAGGCCCAATCCCCAGTAGGGGGCGTGCAGGAGGCAACCGATGGATGTTTCTCATCGATGCTTCTAACTATCCCTCTCCCACTCTGTAAAAAATCAATTAAAAATAATTTTTTAAAGAAACAGCCAGGGCAAGAAGGTCCAAGTCCAAATTCCAGGTCTGATCCAGGTCCAAGGTCCACGTCTCATGCCCGGTACACAGTTGAAGGTCAAATGTCTAGGAGTAGGTCAGAGTTCAAGGACCAGTTCATGTCCACTTCCAGGTCCAGATCCAGGGTCCAGTCTGAAGTCCCAACCTCTCAGACGTTCGGGTTCCTGAGCAGAGACCATGTCTGAGGTCAGGGCCCAGGTCCAGGGCCATTCAGGTACATCCCTGAGGTCTGAGGTCTGGTTTCCGGCCAAGTCCAGTGTCCCAGGCCCAGGGTCAGAGAGGAAGGTTTGAATTCCAATTCAAGGCCCAGGAAGAAGGCCCACCGTCTACTTCCCAAGTCCAGCGGCAGGTTCTGCCCACAGTCCGTGTCCGTTCTCAACGTGCAGGTTCAGTGCCCACAGCCCCGAGCAGGCCCAGCCACACGTGCCGTGGCACCCAGGGTGTCTACCACAGAGCCTGGGAGCTGGCTCAGCCACACCTCTATCTAAGACACAGCATAAGCCCCAGCCGGTGTGGCTCAATGGATAGAGTGTTTGCCTGCAGACCGAAGGGTCTCAGGTTCTATTCCGGTCAAGGTCTGGGTTGCAGGCTCCTCCCCTGACTCAGGCCCGTGCAGGAGACAGCCAATCCATGTGTTTCTTTCACATCCATGTTTCTGTCTTTCCCTCTCTCTTCCACTCTCTCTAAAAATCAATGGGCGGGTGTGTGTGTGTGTAAATAAATAAAGTAAAATAAAAATAACGAAGAGAGAGGGAGAAGGGAAAAATCAATGGGAAAATATCCTCAGGTGAGGATTTAAAAAGACTCGGGACGGAGGGTGGGGTGGGAACCTGGTGGAGGGGGGAAGAAATGAGGAACCTTTGTAATAATATGAACAATAAAGATTGATTTAATAAAAAAAATAATAATAATAAAATAAAATAAAAAAAATATAAATAAATAAATAAATAAAAAGACTCAACGTAAGTGCATTATTGAGGGGAAACTCATTCTGACGCAGTTAGACCTGAGACTATAATGAATTCTTTTTTTTTCTTTTTTTAAGGAAGAGTTATTTTATTTTTTAAATATTTTTATTGATTTCGGAGAGGGGAAGAAACATCAGTGATGAGAACCATTGATCGGCTGCCTCCTGCATGCCCCCTACTGGGGATTGAGTCCGAAACCCGGGCATTTGCCCTTGACTGGAGTCGAAGCTGGGACCCTTCAGTTCGCAGGCCGACGCTCTATCCACAGCCGCACCGGTCAGGGCTTGATTTTTTTAAAAAATAAATTCTTTATTGTTGAAAGTATTACATGTGTCTCCTTTCCCCCTCCCCACCCATTGGCCTGTCCCAGCCCCCTACGGACGGTGTCCATTGGTTCTGCTTATCGGCATCAGACAGGTCCTGTGGCTGATCTCTGTGGTGGATTCTTACCTCCATCCTTTACCGACTGTGACTCCCTCCCCCGGGACCGGCGCTCGCTCGCGGGTCTGAGGTGCCCTTTCCGAGTCGGCGGTCCCAGGCGGTGGCCCCTAGATGCTGGGGTCTGTGAGCGGGGGTGGGGGGGGTTTGGCACCGGCTGCGGGTGGCCCGGGGTGACCCTGAGGGCCGTCCTGGGTGGGGCAGCGCTGCCCCTCTCCTCGGGGAGCAGGGTGAGTCTGGGGCTCCCTGCCCGGGGTGCCCATCTGAGAAGCCCCAAATGCCCCGGAGTCACGGCAGTTTCGGGGTGCTTTATGGGGTGCCCTCTTGCACTCCTTCACCCCTCCTTCCCCCCCCCCACACACACACGCACGCGTGAAGTAACAAGGAGTCCTCAGCCGAAGGGCCTTCTCCGCGGCTCCCAGAGGTGGGGGCTGGGGCGGGCTCCAGGGGGAGCCGCCAGGGTCCTGGCTTGTTTCTTCTGCTGAGGATGTGTGCTTACTGCTCCCATGTATTTGTTTTCATATGTTTTACTGATTTCAGAGAGGGAGGGGGAGGGAGAGGGCGAGAGAGAAACATCAGTGATGAGAGAAGCACGGACCGGCTGCCTCCTGCTCGCCCCCATGGGGATGGAGCCCACATCCCGGCCCGGCCCCGACCGGGAATCGAACCGTGACCTCCTGGTTCCTAGGCGGACGCTCAGCCCCTGAGCCACGCCGGCCTTAATCCTCACCCGAGGGTTTGCTTTTGTTTTTGTTTTTATTGATTTTGAGAGAGAGGGAGGCGGGGGGAACTTCGATGTGAACGAGAACCTTTGGCTGGGTGGCTCCCAAATGCACCCCGGCCCGGGCTGGGCCCTGAGACCACGGCGTGTGCCTGACCGGGGCCTACCGGAACCTTCCGGCACAGCACGCTGCTCCCAAAACGGGCCACCGCCCAGGCCCCCCCCCCCCCCATTTGCGGGTTTTCAGGAAGAGAGAGAAACAGGGAGCCCACAGCCTGCATTGCAGGGACGAAAAAGACGAGAGAAAAGGCTGAGGGCTGCTTTCCAGGGTTTTATTGTCGGGCCGAGGCGGGAGGCGGAGCCGCGACGGCCCTCAGGACTCTTCCTCGGGCTGAGAGTCCTCCTCGGGGGGCTGCGGGCCCCCCTCGGGGGGCGGGGCGTCCCCCCGGGGCTGCGGGCCCTCCTCCCGCGGCCGCAGGTTGCTGAAGAAGTCCCTGACCCTCTGGCCGATCTCGCCCAGCTTCCGCCCGCCTTTCTGGAGCAGCCGGCCCAGCTTCTCCCCGCCTTTCCTGAAGAGCTCACGCAGCCGGCCCAGCTTCTCCCGGCCTTTCTGGACCAGGCCGTCCAGCTGGACGCTCTTGATCTGTGCGCGGGGAGGAGACGGCTCCTTGGGGCTGGGCCAGGGCAGGAGCCCCCCAGGCCCCCTTCCCTGGGCCCCCAGGGGCCCGGCTCACCCTCGCTGGGACCCTGGGACCTGTGCTTGAACCCGCCCCTAAACAGACGGGAAACAGGCCCCGAGCTGGCCAGTGGCCCCAGGCCCCACGGCCTCCCCAGCCCAGCAGGAATCTTCCGGAAGGCGGCCTCACCGGAGTCTGAGGCCGTGGGGGGGCTGGGAGGGGGCCTTCCTATCACGCTCAGGCGAGGACCACACTGGGAACCAGGCTGGGGCGGGAGAGGGGCTCCGGCCAGGTTCACGGTCCTCCGCCCCTCACCTCCTCGCAGGTGACGTCAAAGTAGCCGTAGTCCGGGTCCAGGATGACGGAGCCCGCGCACTCCTTCAGCAGCTGCAAGGGGCGCAGGTCACCCCCGCCCCGGCCCCCACCCGCCGCCCCGGCCCCCACCCGCCCGGCCCCCAACCCTGCCCCGGCCCCCACCCGCCCGGCCCCCAACCCTGCCCCGGCCTCCACCCGGCCGTGCCCCCGCCACCCCGGCCCCCACCCGCCCGGCCCCCACCCCGCCCGGCCGTGCCCCCGCCGCCCCGGCCCCTGGTGGCGTCGGTGGGCGCCCAGTCCCAGCCCCCGCCGCCCCGGCCCCTGGCGGCGTCGGTGGGCGCCCATCCCCGGCCCCCGCCGCCCCGGCCCCTGGCGGCGTCGGTGGGCGCCCGCCCGCTCACCCCCTCCTCCCTGAAGTCGCACTCCTCAGGGGGCCGCCGCGTTGCCCTGGGGCACACGGTCTCCTGCAGGGTCAAGCTCACCGGCCTCCGGGCCTCGGGGCTCAGGTCCTGTGGGGAGGAAGTGGGAGGCCAGGGTGGGCCTCTGTGCGTCCTGGGTCCGAGCCCCCGCCCCCAGGCCCCCCACTCACGTCGGGCGGCGGCGGCGGGTCCAGCCGCACCAGGCGGTAGAGGCGGGGCTCCCGGGAGCGCTGGTTGAAGCCCAGCACGGCCAGGCGCACGGCCTCCTGGTAGCTCACGGCCCGGGCGGCCTGGGCGGCCCCGGTGGCCTGGGCGGCGGCCGGCGCGGGCATGGCCAGGCCCAGCAGCAGCAGCAGCAGCAGGGCCCGGCGCCCCCCGCTCAGGCGGCTCCCCGGGGTGTCCATGGCCGATGTCCCCCAGCTGCAGGCCTCCCCCTTTATGGCGCTGGGCTTGCCTCACTCCCTGTTGCCTCACAGGCTTGCTGCGCGGTGGGCGGCGAGGGCGGCCCCTGTGCAACATGAAGAAATGGTTTCCCCATCTCCCACCTGCTCCTCTTCCTCCTGGGACACTCCCCACGGCCCCCTACCCCTGCCTGCCCCGCAGGGCCTCACTTCCTCCCTCTGAGGGGCAGCCACAACCTCCAGACCCACCTCCTCCAGGCTGCCCCAGACACCCATCCCCATCCCCACCATCCTCACCGTCCCCCCATCCCCACTGTTCCCACTGTCCCCTCATCCCCCCCCATCCGCACCATCCCCACCATTCCCACCGTTCCCACTATCCCCACCATCCTCCCATCCCTCTCATCCCCCCATCCCCACCGTTCCCACCATCCCCACTATCCCCACCGTCCCCCCCATCCCCCTCATCCCCCCATCCCCTCCACCCCCCTTCCCCCCATCCCCACCATCCCCACCGTTCCCACTGTCTCCTCATCCCCCCCATCCCCACCGTCCTCACTGTTCCCCCATCCCCACCGTTCCCACCATTCCCACTATCCCCACCGTCCCCCCCACCCCCCCATCCCCCCCCGTCCTCATGGGGCTTCTTTGGGTGTTGATGACCCATTTCACCCCTCCCCCCCACCTCCAGGAGCCCCCCTACCCTCTTCCGCTGGCATCAGGGCCTAGAGGGTTTTTTTTAAATGTATTTTATTGATTTCGGACAGGAAGGAAGAGGGAGAGAGAGAGAAATATCCATGATGAGAGAAAATCATGGATCAGCTGCCTCTTGCACGCCCCCTGGCTCTGGTTCCACAGCCCCGCAGGGCCTGGAGTCCCATTGCTCCCACTGCCCTCCCCGCAGCCCTGCAGGCCCCAGGCCGCACACCCCACCACGAGGCCTCGGTGCCCCCACTCCCTCCCCTCTGCCCCCGCACGCCGCCACCATCCCACCAAGCCTCCCTGGCCTCCGTCTCCTCCGATTGGATCCCAGACGGCTCCCGGTTATGCTCCAGCGGAGACAGGCCGGGGGCTGGCGGCGGCGTGGACAGGCGAGGCCAGCGTGGACGGAGGCCGGTCGCTGGCGGCCTCTGGGCCGGGGCCTCGGGGCCTGGACAGGAGCTGGAAGGGCGGGGGGCGGAGGGGCTGTTGCACACTCGGCTTGGGAGCAGGAAGGCGTCTGGGCTTCTGTGCAACCTGGTTTCACAGCCGCGTTGCCCCAGCGGCTCTTGGCCAAGCCGGGCTTGCACACGGCGGGCGCCTGGATGGTGGCGGGAGGAAGGTCAGCGGGACACCGGGCCCCGGAGGCCTCTCCTGGCCCCTCACCTTCTGTCCTGGCTTCGGGGTCCCCGAGGAGCTGGGAGAGGAGAGGGAGGGGGACCTGCCCGTCCGCTCCTCCAGGCCAGACCCCCTCAGCGCCGTTCCCGCTGGGAGGGCCTGGGCCTCGGCCGCCTGCACACCCCTCCGCTCCCCATCAGAGAGCCGGGGCCTCACAGGTCCTCCCACGGCTGCAAGTGGGACGGGGCCCAGGCTTCCCAGCCTCCAGGACAGCCCCCGCCGGGCCGGGTGTGTGTGTGTGTGTGTGTGTGTGTGTGTGTCCACCGCAGAGGTGGCGAGGCTGATCAGACCCTCAGCAGCCACGGCCGCCGCTCTCCTGGGGAGGGAGGGCTCTCCCAGCCTGCCTTTCTCATAATGGCTCATCTCACGACCAAGGTGACCGGATTCTCTAGGGGGGGCCCGGCCAGCATGGCTCAGGGCTGGAGCATCGACCTATGAACCAGGAGGTCAGGGTTCGATTCCCAGGCAGAGCACATGCCCGGGCGGTGGGCTCGATCCCCAGTGAGGGGCGTGCAGGGGGCAGCTGATCTGTGATTCCCTGTGGAAAATGACTCAGGAGAGGGCTCCGTCCTCTCGTGGCAAAGCCACGGGCAGGTCCCAGCACAGTTCCAGCCAAAGGCCGGGCTGTGCCTGGGCCTCACGGTTGCACCTGCGGCCACGTGGCTGAGTGACGGGCTGCGGGAGGGGCAGGAGGTAAACAGCTGGATCAGGGGGTGTGACTGAGGAGACTGGAAACAGAGAAGGCGGTGACCACACCCTCACGGCGCCCCAGGACCGGCCATGACCGGACTGGGCCTGCAGGCCGTGGCGCTGTCTCCCGTCAGAGCGAGCGTCCCACCCGAACCCAGCTTTCTTCTCGTCTCTTTCCCCGTCCTTCACCGCCCTCAGCTCGCGGACCTGGCTGTCCCCGCGCGGCAGTCTCTCTGTCCCTCTCCCTCTCTGAAGTCAATTAAAAATGTTTTTAAAGAAGATTCTAGGGGAGTCCAGATCAGAAGGGGGAATCTGACAGCTCCCCAGGAAGTGTTCACACAGTGGTTCTCCAAGTGTGGGCCCCAGACCATTCACGTCACAACTCCTGGGCACTTGTTAGAGATGGAAATTCAAAACTCGCACGTGCGTGCACACACACACATACACACGCCCATGCACACACAAGCACATGCACACACGCACATGCACACGCACGCACACACGCGTGGACATGCACTCACGCGCACACGTGCACGCACACGCACGCACACGCCGCAACAACAGCTCAGAGAAACGGCGTCCTGGCTGGGGCTCCGTGGTCAGAGCGTCTGCCTGCAGACAAAGTGTGTGGGTTCGATTTCAGGCCAAGGACAGACCTCACCTGCAGGTCCCCCAGCCCTGAGGGGTGGGGGGTAGGCAGGTGCGGGAGGCAACCAATAGGTGTGCCTCTCTCACGTCAGTGCTTCTCTCTCTCTCCCTCTCTCACCCCCTCTCCTCCCTCCCGCCCACTCTCTCTAGAAAGCACTGGAAACATCGGGTGGCGGGGCCCAGGTCCTGGTCCAGGAGCCCTGCCTGCGGGCGGGTCAGACGCAGTGAAGTGTGAGGGCCACGGCCACGGCCACGGACGCCTCGGAGCCGCGAGACAGCAGCGTGGAGCGGAAGGAGAGGCTCCGAGAGGTGACCGGTAGCTCAGGGCCGCCTAAAAGACCACAGCCGGGTAGCGAGCCTCAGTGATTGAGCCTCGACCCGGGACCAGGAGTTCCGTTCCTGCAGGCACAGGCCCGGTTACCAGCCCAATTCCCCAGTAGGGGGCATGCAGGAGGCAGCAGATCCATGATTCTCATCATTATTGTTTCTATTTTTTTAAAAAAATATATATATATTTAAATATATATTTTATTTATTTTTTACAGAGAGGAAGGGAGAGGGTGTGTTGGAAACATCAAAGATGACCAGCTGCCTCCTGCACGCCCCCTACTGGGGATGTGCCCGCAACCAAGGTACATGCCCTTGACCAGAATCGACCCTGGGACCCTTCAGTCCGCAGACCGACGCTCTATCCACTGAGCCAAACCAGTTAGGGCTGTTTCTATTTTTTTAAAAATATATTTTATTGATATTTTACAGAGAAGAAGAGAGAGGGATAGAGAGCTAGAAACATTGATGAGAGAGAAACATCGACCAGCTGCCTCCTGCACACCCCTTACCAGGGATGTGCCCGCAACCAATGTACATGCCTTTAACCGGAATCGAACCTGGGACCTTTCAGTCCGAAGACCAATGCTCTATCCATTGAGCCAAACCGGTTTTGGCTATTTTTAAAAAAATTTTTTTTAATTTTATTGTTGAAAGTATTACAGATGTCCCCCTTTTCCCCATGGACCCTTTCTGGCCTGACACCCCCCCCCCCCCAGCCTTCCCCACACGGCTGTCTGTGTCCGGGGGTTACCCAGATGCACATTTACGTTCTTTGGTTAATCTCTTAACACCCCCATCCTCCTCTGAGATTGTTTTCATTACCATTCCTCTCTCCGCTCCCTTCCTCTCTGGAATCAATAAAACCGTCAGATTTAAAAGAATACGAGGGCGACCTCTCGCTCCTGGCAACCCAGATTCCCGCTCCGGCGTTCACGGCCAGGAGGCCACGCCGGGACCGCAGGCTCGGCTCCTGTGAGATGGCGGAAGGCAGGGCCGCCGGCTGAGGCCGCGCCGGGCTGGCAGGGTGGCTGCAGGGCCCGAGGCCGCGGGGACACAGCTGGCACTGGCGGCGGCGATGACACAGGACGGGCTTCATGGCGGATGCCCTGCCTGTGGCTACAGCTGCAGAGAGAGCAGCTCGGCGTGGTCACACGTGGGCAGGTCTCCCCCAACTCTGCGGCCTGAGGGGGGCCGGGGGTCACGGAGGCAGATGGGGGGACGTGAGGAGGCGAGGGACAGGATAAGCCTGAGGCTGCCCCTCCCGCACAAAGGTGGGGGGGCTCTGAGCGGCAGGGCAGGGCGGCCACCTGGCTCAGGAGCCCCACAGGGACCGGCCGGCCCTCTGTCCTGGCCCCGCCCGTGAGGAGGGGCCTCAGGGGTAAGCGGGGGCACTGCCCCCACGGCCTCTGCACGGCTCACACAGGCACCGGTGGCTGGCTTCCTGGGGTCTGGGTGTCAGGTGGAGGGCTGGAATGGGTCCCCCCAACACCCCGTTACCGCCTCAGGCCTGGAACACCCCCCCCCCACATCTCGCCTAACGGGACCTTTGTCAACCCACTGGCAGGCGGCTGTGCGAGAGGCTGTAACTCAGCCCCAGGAACAGGGTCACCTCCGAGGCCCGGGGTGGGGGCCCGGACGGGCCATGGCACCAAGGCCCAGCCTGCTGGCTCCAGCCCCCCAGGCCCCCTCAGCCCCGCACAAGGTCCCTTTCCTCCCAGGCAGGACCTGGGGGGCGGGGGCAGCACCCAGTGCAGGCAGTCAGGGGGCGCAGCTGCTGCCCAGGACCTCTGACCCCGAGAAACCCGCAGGAATCGGTGACCCTTTGGAATGCAGCGTGCCCCGCCCTGCCCTGCTCCAGAGCTGCTGTGGCTCCCGCTGCTCCAGTGCCGAGGTCGGCACACCGCGGCTCAGGAGCCACCTGCGGCTCTTTGGCCCCTTGAATGTGGCTCTTCCACAAA